GAGTCATTGTAATAATTTCTAACAGTCGTGGCGGGTACTCTCAACTCTCTTAGCTAGAAGCATCTGCCGGAAAAAACAGTGCCATCAGCGACAAAAACCTACGGGGAAAGGGGGGGGGGAGACTGTGCAAAAAACGCATCTTCGCACCGGCAGCCGGTGCGCTGTCGACCAAGTTATTAATTTTGTGCTGAAACACGACTTTGCGTGTATGTTTGTGTGTGTATTTGTTTGTATGTGTGTTTGTGTGTGACTCTCCGGGCATTACAATTGGGTAAACAAGCAAGCTTCGGCGCTGAAATTTTGCCTCAGAACCGCGGCACCAACCTTCACGCGTGAGCGAGCTCCGCGTATTAACACGTGAAAGTTTTGGCTGGAAAATTGCTAACTCGGTAACCAGGAAAGCTGAAGTACTGAAATTTTAACGGGATGTTCTCCCTCCGTGTATAGCATTGAAATTTCAAATTCAGCCTGCAGACGTATGTTGTTCACGCGTATGGACACGGAAAAATTTTGGCAAGAAAACTGCTCATTGAGCAGCTAAGTCAGTTTCAAAGAACAACCATTCAACGAAAATTGTTCCTGTTCCTTCGTGCCAAATTTGCATTGAAACGCATCCAAGCTGAAATGCACCAGACTTGCCTGTGCAATCATGCGTTTTTGCACTAAACTTGCAGATCCCCTACGCTGCAGTTTAACACTTGGATTCATATTGACTGTGTTTCGACCTCTCCCCGTATGCAGAGGAAAAGGGCGCCGGCTGGGATGAAGATGTTCCATTACAGAGCCGCATGGAGCCCGGTCTTTTTTCCAGTGAATGCTCCCTGATTGATAAAAAGTGCAAATTTAAAAGAAATCGGAAGAGGACTATGAAATTTGCACTCGCTTTTACGTTGGCAATTGAGTATTTCTCATACTGCCTACAGTATAAAAAATATTCAATTGCCAAAATAACCTCCAAACCTCCAAACTGGATTAAGGCCGGATGTGGAAGTATGGTATCCCAGCGAAGTTTCAGTCTGCAAACCAGAACTCAGTTTAAGTGTACGATTTCCCATGTGAGCGGTAAATATTGCGACAAAATTTCAGCCACTTTTTCCGGCTAGTTTCCGAGTTAGCACAGTGCTGTGTTCGGATTTTGGTGTAGTCGAACTTGTTGCACAAGCGTGCTCAGTAACTGAATTTGAAATCTTTTGCAGGATGCGGAGATTTTAAAGCAGCAGTGATGGCTCTAAAATGACTTATGAGCGATTACTTTAAAACAGGAGGGTGACACATAGGGTGGGGATATACTCCCAAAATTTCAGCCTTTCAATTTTCCTGATTGCTGAGTTGAAAGCAGGTAACAAAGTTCACTCGTTTCCGAACACAAACACACGGATGAACTCGTGACAGTATGCGGTTTTGCTCGCTGCACAGCAAAAACGCATAATCGCATCGGCAAGCTTGGTGCGTTCCAGTCCAGGGCTTAGTAAACTTACCACTGTGCGGCTCACGACGTTGTTCAGCTGCAGTCACATTAGGGCTTACTAATTTGTTCGTTTCTGCGTCGTTTCGGGGTATCAGTTTCATGAAGCTCGGTGTTCTTGGAAAAAAGATTTTCCCATCTGGCACGGAAAGATTGGCCTTAATGTTTTATTTGTTCGATTTTTGATGGAGTAATATACCACACTGCCTTGTTCCGCAGTATTCATGCCGTTGTGACGGAGGTAACGTAAATTATTTCTTGCGCGAGCAGTCGCATGATCTCCGCAGATTTAGTGGCAGCGCTGAAATAGCAGCTGTTTATCGTCAAAGATTGTTCTGCAGGGGTCGTCAGATGGCAAAGACTTAGCTTATGAGATAGCCGCTGTTTTGGAGCTGCTTGATGCTTACGCTTCAATGCGGAAAGCCAAAGCTGATCAGGGCAAGCCGACTGAAGAAGCGTGCGGGGTGTATGATCTTGGCGCCCTACTTGGCATGGATGATGACGCACTGGCGTCGTGTTTGAGACGCATTGATGGGTAAGTTAACAGTGTTTTAGTCGATGCCGCTTATTCGCTGAAATTCTGTGAAAACAGTGAAGAGGAACCGTAGGAACTGGGCGCGTTTAGCTCGGGATGGCGAGCCTAATATAAATACGTTCTTACAGTGCGAAATTTTTGTTTTGATGATCTGGAAGTGCAGATTATAATCCACAAGTGGAGGCGTCAGTAGAGGATGAAATTCAGTTTTTATAGATCTGTATTTTCCGTTCAATTGCTGTGCGATCTTTGATAAATCAAATTTTCCATTGGGAGAAGGCTACTGTCACAGACAAAAGGAGTTGTCCCATGGTGTTATTTTGTCTGAGACTAATCATTTCTTCAGACATCGATGGACCAAGAAATTTGAGGAGGTCGCTGTCCCAACATTTGCCGAATTCATGGCGCATTTTGATCTTGGTCACCGAGCACTGGCAACATCCAGTCGGACATCGCTGAAAAATAAGTAATCCTTGTTGTCGTTTGATGATTTCGTGCTTTTCGTGTTCCTTCAAGTATTTGAGCGCGTACTCGACCCATGATCTGCTGCATGATAAATCAGTTTTCGAAGTCTTCATTTGCCCTGGTGGGAATCACTGGAGCAATTCGAACATCATTTGACCTCGAACAGTTGTCACTTTGTTTCACGAGCAATCCTGAAATTGAGAAACCCCTCAGCATATTTGTCAGAGGTTTGTTGCTACCCCTGGCCGAAGCTCTACCACTCTGCTTCCATTGCATTCTGACTTCTTTTTGCCGAGTGTATGAAAGTTTTCGTTTCAGGTTGTTAAAGAGAACACCAGCTTTGGGCACGCTACTCTTTCACAACGTAATAACCGGAAGATGCGCCACTGAACATCTTTTAAATAATGGATTTTCCCTGCTTCGTTTGTCTAGCGTACGTTTTCGAGTTCTCAGGAATTCCTACATACATTCAAATTCTCTACAAGTTCAATATTTCTCAAACTTAACTAACTTTAGACTTCCTTAATTTCAAATCGCATCCCGAATGTTATTACCGAAATTAGCCACTTTATCGGCCTTGCATTTTTGACGTTATCTTAGACAATGACAATGCCCGTATGAGCCTCTTATAAGCTGCATTTTTATGCGTTTTTGCTGTGCAGCGATATGACAGCGCTAGAGCCAACAAAAACGCATATTGTCGAGAGGCGTCTGTGTTTGTATTCGGAAGCGATTGCATTTTGTCACCCACTTTCATCTCAGCAACCAGGAAAGCTGGGGAGCAGAAATTTCGGGTATATGTTCCTACCCCGTGTGTTACCCCGTTCCCCCCCCCCCCCCCCCCCCCCCT